TTGGAACCCAGATGATGCCGAGCTCGAGGCTGTCAAGGCGGCCATTGCTCAGATGCAACGATTGATTCTGCGACATGAGGATGCTATCAATCTGCAGCGCATTGAGACGAGCTATGTTGCGCACATGCGTATCTCCACTCCAGAGGCCATTGTGGCAGGAGTCTACCGTGCCGCCTCAGGATGGAAACAAGCCAAGGAGACCAATCCCGACTCCCTCAACAAGCCTCTTCGTGCCACGCTCATCACCTGCGTGTTCTTGGATCTTCGCACTAGGGTTGCCAACTTGACGCCAGATCAGGCAACCAAGCTTAAAGACTTGCAATGGTATGAGGACTCCACGACCACGTGGCATTATGTCAAGTGGACTGCAGGGCAAAAGAAGCTGGTACGGGATGAGGAGCGAGAGGGCATCAACACCGCAGACGTTCTCAAGGTGCTTGGTGATATCTTGCGGGCAGCTCCTAAGCCCAATGCGGTGGCCCGTTTCCACCCCACGAGGCCACTGGCTCAGGAAATCTGATGCAGTTCGGCAATCACAATGACCATGCTGAAAAACTGTGCACGTGTATGGATCGGCTATGCGGCCTGTCGGCGACACAGCTCATTGGGCTTGGTGTCAAGCCAGATCGTCTGCGCAGGTCTACGCTGGCTAATCAGATTGCCTCCTCGTTCATGGGCTGATGTATATGCTCCGGCTTGAGTCGTTTATGCTTGAGTGTGACATGTCATTCAAGCTGTCTTTTCCTGTTTTCCTGGGCATCCTCTTGTGGATGCAAGGGCTTGGAAGTGGGTAGGCGACATGCTCGGCTCCTCGGGGCGATGTTGCTATGGGCTATGCCATCTTGGCCAACAGCAGCTGAAATGGCGAATCAGTACTCCGCACTTGGGGGTTCCTCACTTTTATCCGCTGGACTCTATGGAAAAGCAGGTCCACTCTTGCGTCACACAAAAGAGGAACAGCATGCCTGGCCTGCTCATGCCCTTGGCTTTGACAACCCGTTAAGTCTTCAATGAGCTGCTGCACCTGTGTGATTGCTGAGGTCATGCGAACACCCTTGCGCCACATCAACATGGAGCTCATCAACGTCTGCCACTCACTTTGCTATGTGCTATGTTCTCGTGCTCTGGAAACCACTGCGTCGCTGATGCTTCGCCTGCAACCGATATGTCTGCTGGTTCTTCTCCAGGACTCTTTCGCTAGAGGGAATATGTCCCTAAGCGAGGATGGCAGGCGCACTGCAGAGGAGTTTGAACTGAAGTATGGTGCTCATCCATACCGCATGGCACCGGAGCGCTTCATGTCACTCAATGGTTTCTCTCAGCAGACAGCGCATCGTATAGGTCTTTTTCCATCGATGCCAACATGTCTGGAGGCTGCCGTGCCAGGTATGGAATACTTATATGATCACACCACAGACGCAGACATGGGCGAGGGATATATTCAACATTTTCTTCGTGGCACATACAAGGTTGATTCCAGCTGTCTCCCAGATAAGTCGCCCTCGAATTCTGTTGAGGAGAAGGCCTCTGCTGCGATGGATTTTGGTTTTATCACATGGCATGAGCTCCAGGAATTGTTTGATGAGGTTCCCGCAGGCACCTTGGACCGTGGCGATGCGCAAGCTGGCACGGACAGACCGCTGCTGCCTCCAAAAGCGTTCGTCACGGGTGCATACTCCAGATCTGCTTTTCATGGTCTTCGCAGAGGCACCGGCGCATATCGCATATCCATGGCTCACCAGTTTGCTCTGTTCCATTGTGCGCAACGTGGCACCGCCGCACAAATTCACTACTATTTCATGGGCGAGAAATATCATGACGGTTGCCCACAAAGATTCCCACAATGATGGAGCATCACGTAATCTCATACTTCCGTGCTCTGCGTTCACGCAAGGCTCTTTATGGCTTGAAGATTCGGCGGGTGAAGTCATGATTTCCACCAATGGGCCCAGGGGTAAATTGTGGGACACGAGGAGGCCGTGCCTGTTCTGCCCTCGAACACTTCATGCA